CCTGATGCAAACACAGGTCCCAGGACAGAGGAACTGGGCTCCTCTTCCATAAGGGGTCCAATCGCTCCTTAACATAAACTATCTTAATATACCCCAGGTAATCGCATCGAATCATCTCATTTTAACATAGACAAGGAGGGAATAATGCATGCTGACTTGCTGGCGCAGAAACCTCTTCGTCTAACCTTTGTCCTTGGAAAGCCCCAGCTCAGCTGTTGCACATCTCCATTGCTTTCTGATTCGATAACCTCCAGTTGGCTACCTAATGTTGCACTGTCTTCGGAGCCACTCATACAGGCTAAGCCATGACCCTTATTTTTCGGCTCTGCTATATCGAGTAGTTACTGCCTCCGATATTATCTAATGCTAAGTCCTCTACCTAAGGCTACTGAAAGCATTAGGGTTAACAAGAGGTCTACGTCCTCCCAGAGGAGAGGCAGCTATCAGAAAGGTGTGTCCCCCCAAGATTTCGCAGGGCGAGTTACCTTGCCTGGACATCAAGGGAAGCCTCAAAAGTGCACTGGTAGTTCTGCATCGTCTGTGGAGCGAAGGTCACCGTAGCAAAGGCGTGGGAGCGGCTGGGCACACACATCCGAACGGGATCCACCTCAAAAATGTCGCTAACGCGGCTGTTCAGCTTGAGGGAACGCGCAAGGTGGTGTTAGGAGAAAACATCCTTCAATATGATGCAGTCTTATTCATGTATGCATCATGGGGAACAGCCCCAGGCAGCGTTTTCCTTCCTGCTTCCCTGGACAGGCTCCTTCCATCTCAGGGGGTGACTCGCACAGGGAGCTGCAGTAAAGCCCAGGAGTGCAAAAGCTTGCCCTGAGCGCTGGGCAGCCACCCCAGCATACATGGGAGGTAGAGACTGCAGGGAAAACCCTGCAAATAATCTAGAATTGGCCTTTAAAGAGAAGGGAAAGACCAGGGAGCCCGAGGGTCTGCTTTGAGCCCTGGCACATCAGTCCAGTAAAAGCCCCCCCCTGAGTGTGCTTCCGAGAGACATTCAGAAGGATTCAGGTCTCCCACCGAAGACCCAGAGGGGTGAGCCAAAACCTTGCTTGAGACACGCTGAATTCAACCCAACTGTCGCCCCGGCATTGCTGCTCTCCCCTGTAGTTTGACCTGCACCGAGCTGGACTAGTCTGGGCAAGAGGAAGCAATGAATCTGGAGAACAAGGCAGGCTATCACACAGCCTTTAAAGAGCAACAGTCACCTTGGCCTCTTGTTCTTACCTTACCGGGGATGGGTTTGATGGAGAGGACCACGTCACAGGGGACTTTGTCCACATTGCGGATCTTGAAGCGAGCTGCGGCCCGGTGCCCAACCAGAACATTGGTGAAGATAAACTTGTTCTCATCTGTGATGAACACGCCCTTATCTTCCACTGTCTGTAGGATCTGGCAGAGGTTGATGTTGCTGCAGATTCGATGCTCCTCAAAGATGGACTCTATGTCGTCAACCACAAATGCTGCAAGCAGACCAGAGGGAGGTCTGGGGCTGGAGAAGCCTTCCTGCT